TCCTACCGAATTTTTAAAATTGTCATACATATTTTCTTTACTCATTTTCAATAACGTTATAACGAAATGACGTTGACTGAAACGGCGTTAATGGGGGAATTGTGTACAATAATGTGACCTTTTATGGGTTAATAATTAGTATTGTCTGTCATTATTGACATTTGTTTCTCCAGAAATGTTTATTTAATTTATTGCCAGCTACCCTCACTCAACAACTTTCTGAATTAATGTGAAGACAAAATTAGTGATGGGACAATGGGAGGAAATTCAGTGCTCATGAGAATATAATTTTGGAGACACAGTACCCATAATAAGTTGGTTTGGCAGGGCATTATTACAGAAGGCATGCAGTACTGTACAGTATACTGAACTAGTCTATAACATGCAGTACAGTGAACCCTCACTTTACGAGGTTAATTCAACCCACAGGGTACCGCGGAAAGTGAGAAACGCGTAAAGTGAATAACATAACATATGGGATTAAATGAAATAGAGACCGGCTGACCCCCAAACTCCACTTTTTCCGACACAATACCTATGTTCTAGTAAAAATAACATCTTAATTTTATGATGGTACATGCACACAATAAATACTTAAGAGAAATACAGTCACCAAGTTAATGTCCATTCAAATAATGTACTCAACTCCCTCCCCCTCTTCTCACACTACACTCGCTGGCTCTTCCCTCTCTGAGAAATTTTGGGGGGAAAACCACTAGATTTTAAGGTACAGTAATAAATAATACCTTAAACTAAAGTTAGGATAATATAATTGACATTGCTGGATTCCTTGTAAGACCAGGAATATTTTGAATATAAATGTCATATATTTTGCACAATAGATAACATATTTACTCAGAGTAAACATTATATCTAAAATTTTTATGTCTAATGCAAAATCTATGATGTTTATATTCAAAATGATCATCAAATTGTAAGAATTCCAGCAATGTAAATTATATTCTGGCCGGGTAATTTGTATGAATTTTATGAGCTAAAACAAATATCTTCAGTTAATAAAAAAAAAAATATTCTTCACACGTGCCAGATGGTCGGACGGTCCCTCCCACCCCCCCCATCAACCCTCCCTATTAGATAAATGTGTGGGAAAACCAGACTATTTACCTTTTTAGTAATAAATAATACCTCAGGCTAAAGTTAGGATAATATAATTGACATTGCTGGATTCCTTGTAAGACCAGGAATATTTTGAATATAAATGTCATATATTTTGCACAAAAGATAACATATTTACTCAGAGTAAACATTATATCGAAAATTTGTATGTCTAATGCAAAATCTATGATGTTTATATTCAAAATGATCATCAAATTGTAAGAATTCCAGCAATATAAATTATATTCTGGCCGGATAATTTGTATGAATTTTATGAGTTAAATAAAAAAATTATACCTCACCCGCGTAAAGGGGTACACGCACCGCGGAATGTGAGCATCCTGGGTTCTGGCAGGGCACCGCGTAAACGTGGAAACGCGGAATGTGGGACCGCGTAAAGTGAGGGTTGACTGTACACTGAACTAGTCTAAAACATGCAGTACACTGAACTAGTCTATAACATGCAGTATACTGAACTAGTCTATAACATGCAGTACACTGAACTAGTCTATAACATGCAGTATACTGAACTAGTCTATAACATGCAGTACACTGAACTAGTCTATAACATGCAGTACACTGAACTAGGCTATAACATGCAGTACACTGAACTAGTCTATAACATGCAGTACACTGAACTAGTCTATAACATGCAGTACACTGAACTAGTCTATAACATGCAGTAAAACTGAACTAGTCTATAACATGCAGTACACTGAACTAGTCTATAACATGCAGTACACTGAACTAGTCTATAACATGCAGTACACTGAACTAGTCTATAACATGCAGTACACTGAACTAGTCTATAACATGCAGTATACTGAACTAGTCTATAACATGCAGTACACTGAACTAGTCTATAACATGCAGTACACTGTACTATAACATACAGTACACTGAACTAATAACATGCAGTATACATGCAGTACACTAGTCTATAACATGCAGTACACTGAACTGGTCTATAACATGCAGTACACTGAACTAGTCTATAACATGCAGTACACTGAACTAGTCTATAACATGCAGTACACTGAACTAGTCTATAACATGCAGTACACTGAACTGGTCTATAACATGCAGTACACTGAACTGGTCTATAACATGCAGTACACTGAACTAGTCTATAACATGCAGTACACTGTACTAGTCTATAACATACAGTACACTGAACTAGTCTATAACATGCAGTACACTGAACTAGTCTATAACATACAGTACACTGAACTAGTCTATAACATGCAGTACACTGAAATGGTCTATAACATGCAGTACACTGAACTAGTCTATAACATGCAGTACACTGTACTAGTCTATAACATACAGTACACTGAACTAGTCTATAACATGCAGTACACTGAACTAGTCTATAACATGCAGTACACTGTACTAGTCTATAACATACAGTACACTGAACTGGTCTATAACATGCAGTACACTGAACTAGTCTATAACATGCAGTACACTGTACTAGTCTATAACATGCAGTACACTGAACTAGTCTATAACATGCAGTACACTGTACTGGTCTATAACATACAGTACACTGAACTGGTCTATAACATACAGTACACTGAACTGGTCTATAACATGCAGTACACTGAACTGGTCTATAACATGCAGTACACTGTACTAGTCTATAACATGCAGTACACTGAAATGGTCTATAACATGCAGTACACTGAACTAGTCTATAACATGCAGTACACTGAAATGGTCTATAACATGCAGTAAAACTGAACTAGTCTATAACATGCAGTACACTGAACTAGTCTATAACATGCAGTATACTGAACTAGTCTATAACATGCAGTACATTGAACTAGTCTATAACATGCAGTACACTGAAATGGTCTATAACATGCAGTACACTGAACTAGTCTATAACATGCAGTAAAACTGAACTAGTCTATAACATGCAGTATACTGAACTAGTCTATAACATGCAGTACACTGAACTAGTCTATAACATGCAGTACACTGAACTGGTCTATAACATGCAGTACACTGAACTGGTCTATAACATGCAGTACACTGAACTAGTCTATAACATGCAGTACACTGAACTAGTCTATAACATGCAGTACACTGAACTAGTCTATAACATGCAGTACACTGAACTGGTCTATAACATACAGTGCACTGAACTAGTCTATAACATGCAGTACACTGAACTGGTCTATAACATGCAGTACACTGTACTAGTCTATAACAAGCAGTACACTGAACTAGTCTATAACATACAGTACACTGAACTGGTCTATAACATGCAGTTCACTGTACTAGTCTATAACATGCAATACACTGAACTAGTCTATAACATGCAGTACACTGTACTAGTCTATAACATGCAATACACTGAACTAGTCTATAACATGCAGTACACTGAACTAGTCTATAACATGCAATACACTGAACTAGTCTATAACATACAGTGCACTGAATTGGTCTATAACATGCAGTACACTGAACTGGTCTATAACATGCAGTACACTGAACTAGTCTATAACATGCAGTACACTGTACTAGTCTATAACATGCAGTACACTGAACTGGTCTATAACATGCAGTATACTGAACTGCTCTATAACATGCAGTACACTGAACTAGTCTATAACATGCAGTACACTGTACTAGTCTATAACATGCAATACACTGAACTAGTCTATAACATGCAGTACACTGAACTAGTCTATAACATGCAGTACACTGAACTAGTCTATAACATGCAGTACACTGAACTGGTCTATAACATACAGTACACTGAACTGGTCTATAACATGCAGTACACTGAACTAGTGTATAACATGCAGTACACTGAACTAGTCTATAACATGCAGTACACTGAACTGGAGTATAACATGCAGTACACTGAACTAGTCTATAACATGTACACTGAACTAGTCTATAACATGCAGTACACTGAACTGGTCTATAACATGCAGTACACTGTACTAGTCTATAACATGCAGTACACTGAACTAGTCTATAACATACAGTGCACTGAACTGGTCTATAACATGCAGTACACTGAACTAGTCTATAACATGCAGTACACTGAACTGGTCTATAACATGCAGTACACTGAACTGGTCTATAACATACAGTACACTGAACTAGTCTATAACATGCAGTACACTGACTAGTCTATAACATACAGTGTGAACTGGTCTATAACATGCAGTACACTGAACTAGTCTATAACATGCAGTACACTGAACTGGTCTATAACATGCAGTACACTGAACTAGTCTATAACATGCAGTACACTGAACTAGTCTATATCATGCAGTACACTGAACTAGTCTATAACATACAGTGCACTGAACTAGTCTATATCATGCAGTACACTGAACTAGTCTATATCATGCAGTACACTGAACTAGTCTATAACATACAGTGCACTGAACTAGTCTATATCATGCAGTACACTGAACTAGTCTATAACATGCAGTACACCAGAATGGTCTTTAATATCAAACCTGAATTAATAATTTGCTTTGACAGTAGTATACTAACCTATAAAAGTGGGAAAGTGAAAAGTGAATAAAAGTCTGTTTCTCATTCATCGTTAATACTGTAATGATATGTTTTTCAAATATTCACTGTCACTGATTTTTTTATTATTTTATTATTTTTTATTTTATTATTATATTATCAAGGTTTGAATTCCTATTAATAAGCTTCTTTGATCCACCATATATTCAGTATTATTAGAACCATATCTGAGTGCTGATTCAACAGTATAGTGAAGATATGTAGCGACAAGTACAGTTCTCTCTTATCCCTGACTGATTCTCTTAAATGTGCTTTACAAATAAAAAACTCCTGAAAAATCATATGTCTATATTGTAACAAATAAAATTTTTCATATGCAACAGGTTCAAGTCAAAATCTATGGCCCATACAACAGGACAGTGTATGGCAACGAGGTATTGGTGACAATCGTCGACCCTTTCTCCCGCTGGATCATTGCCCAGGCCAGTCCTGAGGCAGGTGTGGAAGTCTGCTGTGCCAACTTTATCTTTGATGCATTCTGTCAGTTTGGATTTGCACAATGTCATGTAAGTCACTTAGAATTTTTGGCTATAATAGAATATATTTTCTCTAGAATTGATTCCTAAATGATCTTTAAAAAGTGAAGATTAAGTACTTGATAATCAAGATACAGGGTGGTGGTGGTTGTGGCTAGCTGATGCAGGGTGCTGATGCTGGATGGTTGTGGCTAGCTGATGCAGGGTGGTGGTGGTGGTGGTTGTGGCTAGCTGATGCAGGGTGGTGGTGGTGGTGGTTGTGGCTAGCTGATGCAGGGTGGTGGTGGTGGTGGTGGTTGTGGCTAGCTGATGCAGGGTGGTGGTGGTGGTGGTTGTGGCTAGCTGATGCAGGGTGGTGGTGGTGGTGGTTGTGGCTAGCTGATGCAGGGTGGTGGTGGTTGTGGTTAGCTGATGCAGGGTGGTGGTGGTCAGGTGACTAATGGCTGTGAGATTATGTGTGCATCTTTCAGTTTATTTTATGTTTACAGTATTTTCTTGTATTTCTTGTTATTTTTATTGAATCCTTAGTGTTTCGGTACAAAAAATAATTGTTGAATGTTATTGCTTCAAGAATAACACAAAGACAGATGATTAGTGGTCACATTACAGGTGGTTAACAAAGGTTGTGCCTGGCCTGGTATGCTTCTCTCAATAACTCTATTATTGTGTGTGAGTTGCTTTGAGAATCTTTAAGAAGTCTTGAGATGCGGCTGTGTACAGTTTTGCTTTAATTATATACTTATACAGTTCCAGATACCATTTGTGAATAGTCAAAATCACAAATGATAAATTTTCAAGTAATTGTACAGTATACTATAGAATTGTTATGGTGAATGCACAGATGTCTTTCTTTTTGTTTTCTGTTTTGAGGAATAGCTTGTCCTGTTAAGAGATGTATTTGGTCATTTCATCAGCTAGCAATACTGGACCAGTTAAATGCCTTTTTTCTTTTTTTTTTATAGGGATTAACCCACCCGGGCACAGGTCACTGACCCACATCAAGGCCTGGGGGCGAAAATGTAATAATAATAATAATAATAATAATAAATAATAATAATAATAATTCAAAGTAAATAAAATTTATATTAAAAAATTAAAATAAAATAATCATAATAATAAAAATAATAATAATACAGTCGGCCCTTAACATACACGGGGGTTAGGTAACAGAGATACCCGTGAATGTTAAAAATCTGTGTACTTTTGCTGGCCCCCCCCCAATAAACCCCTGGCCCCCCATGTCCTTATTTACCGTATATACCTGTGTGTAGTTTGAGTTTTTAAGACCTCTAAACTGGTAATAGTTTCGTTAGGTTCAAAGATATTTACCAGTAACTACCAGTAAACAATGGAAATGACGCACCAACACACCACCAGCTGTGAGTATCGGTACAGCAAGCCCAAAGTAGCCAAATGCATGGTATGGTAGCACCGGACGATGTAAAACATAAAGTATTCATTTTTTAAAGTTTATTTATAGATACAGTGACCCCTCGGTTAACGAACTCAATCCGTTCCAGAAGGTCGTTCGTTAACCGAAAAGTTCGTTAACCGAAACCATTGTTTCAATGGGTTTTTGGGTAATTGGTTCCAGCTCACCGAAAATTTCCTAAATTCAACAAAAATGGTAGAAAAGTTCACTTACTTTGAGGTGTGTATGTAGAAGGCTCCTGGATGATGATGATGATGGGAATTAGAATGGGGATGGAGGAGAAGGAAGAAGAGAAGGCATTGGGGTGGAAGAGAAGTCACCCCATGGCACCATTTCACCCATAAAATTTTAGTTCTCTTGGTGTATTTCAAGATTATTTTCTTTAAATCAACACTGCACTGCATTATATATTGTCAATATGTAAAATATATTTCAAAATGACCAATAATTTGCTTGGAAACACAGAAAAAAGCATTTAGTTGAAGAGAGTCTCAAGCAAGATGTTACCTCCACTGAAAACAGAGAGAGACTAACGCCTGTTTGCTGTGTTAAGAGGCTGGATGCTGCGCTTTAAACTAGTCACTTTACCTTCAATTATGTTCAATAATTGTTAAAATGACTAAAAAATTGAATATTAAACTTTTAAAATTATTGAATAGTATAAACTTCTTGATATTTACTAAAATAGTAAGGAATTTAAGCCCTAGAACCGATTAATGTATTGGCGGACTGATACTAAAGCTGGTTGCCCGGCCAGTGCAAGCGAAAACATGTTAAGGTCGGTTCGTAAGAAATTCGTTAACCGAATTTTTGTTCGTTAACCGAATTGAAGATCCTTATGGAAGGCAGTTCGTTAACCGAAATTTCGTTAACCGAGGTGTTTGTTAAACGAGGGGTCACTGTACTGTACATAAATTTTGTTCATTACATTTGAAACATCAATCTTTGTTAATTAAATTTGAAACAAAAGGAAACTACGATACCGTATTTTCATTAGAATATTACATCACAAGTATATTTTGCCTTAACTGTGACTGAATGAATATATTCTCAGAAATAAATATGGAAATGTAATATTTTGGCTGAAATGACATACATATTACAGTGGAAAGTGGGATAAAATCATGACAAAAACAATGACTTTCGCATTCTTTCGTTGTTCAAAAGAGTTTACCGCAATTGCTTTTCGAATGGTTTTCAGTTAAAAAACTGTTGTACTGTACTGTATTACAATAATATTCTATCCTATCATTAGCCTCATAACCCCACAACTGAAAACAATTCGAAAAGCGATTACAGTAACATCTTTTGAACGAAAGAAAGCGAAAGTCATTGCTTTCGTCACAATTTTATCCCACTTTCCACTGTAATATGTACGTCATTTCAGCAAAAATATAACATTTCCATATTCTCAGAAATAAATAGTAGTTTTGTTGAAACGTAATGTACAGTATTTAATATAAAAATGCAAAAAGAGCTATAAAAACAATTAATATTGTACGCCTGTAATGTACTGGCTGGCATCTCCACTCGTCCCCGTCCCTGCTCCCGCCTCCAGCGTCACCAGTCCTACCCGCTCTATCCCTCTGCCTCCACATCGTCACTACTGCCGACAACAAACACAAATGTTTTGTGAATAACTGCACCTCCACTTCCTATGTACAGTACTGAACTGTACTGTGCTGTGCATTTTTACAAACAATAAACATAGCGTGTGTGTAGAGACTTAGCTTTCTCACGGATAAGGATAGAGTCCACTGCTACACCTTTCCGGTGCCGGTCCTCTATCCACAGAAACAAGGCATTCTCCATCTTCACCATTGCCTTCTCCCTCACTTGGCTGACATGCTTAGCACTGCGTGGAGCACTGGCACTTACAGCATCACAGATATCTTTTTCCCTTTTCTTGATGGTACGTACCGTGCTTTCATTCACGTTGTACAGTCGCCCCACAGCAGCGAACGACATTCCCTCCCTTAACTTATTCAACAACTCCACCTTCTCCTGCAGAGTCATCACTTTCTTCTGGCGCTTAGGGGTGGCTCCAGCTGGTGCCTTTGATGCTCTTTTAGGGGCCATGGTAAATGTGGGTAGCAAGGGTAGCAACTACAATTCTGATGTTAACACAAGCATGGTTACAGCGAGACTGACTGAGTGACGGAGCGCGGAGTGGTGGGGTGGGGGTGACGACGCGCTATGCGTGTGTGTGTGTGTGTGTGAGGTTGCGGGAGTGGACGGTGTCCCGTGTTCGGTGCCGCGTGCGATTTGAATGGCGCGCGATTTGAATGTACTTCAATTACAGTGACCCCTCGTTTAACGAACGCCTCCGTTAACGAAATTTCGGTTAACGAACTGCATTCCATAAGGATCTTCAATTCGGTTAACGAACAAATATTTGGTTAACGAATTTCTTACGAACCGACCTCAACATGTTTTCGCTTGCACTGACCGGGCAACCAGCTTTAGTATCAGTCTGCCAATACATTAATCGGTTCTAGGGCTTAAATTCCTTACTATTTTAGTAAATATCAAGAAGTTTATACTATTCAATAATTTTAAAAGTTTAATACAGTGGCCCCTCCATTAACGAACTCAATCCGTTCCAGAAGGTCGTTCGTTAACCGAAACGTTCGTTAACCGAAACCATTGTTTCAATGGGTTTTTGGGTAATTGGTTCCAGCTCACCGAAAATTTCCTAACTTCAACAAAAATGGCGGAAAAATTTACTTACTTTGAGGTGTGTATGTAGAAGGCTCCTGGATGATGGTGATGATGTGCATTTGAAGTGGGAGGTGCAGGAGGAGAAGGGAGAAGAAAGGAAGTGGAGGTGGAGGAGAAGCATTTTACTGCTTCTTGGAAGGTGAGTCACCTTCCATGAAAATGTCAGGAACCTCTGGACTGACAGATTCTCCACCATGAACATCCTCTCTCCTTCTTGAAGTGGAAGGCTGAGGGCTAGCATCTTGTTCCCTCTGCCTTTTACTGAAGAAAGTGTCAATTGTGGTCTGTGGGGCACCTGTCCTCCTCACCATTAACTTATGTTTAAAGAAGGAGACCACTGAGTCCTCAACATGACACAAAGTTAGTTCAGTTTTTCCACTTCTGGGCGCTTTGAAGCCAGTTCCCTGAACTTCTCCCAGTGGTAAATCACATCTTTCAACTGTTTAGCTGACATATGGTCATCACTTTCAATTTCCTCCTCACCACTGTCAGCCTCTACCCGTAACATCTCATCCAGTTCCTTCAAGTCATCAGGAGTAAGTTCCTCCTCATGAGACATCACAAACTCTTCCACATCCTTCTCCTCCACTTCAAGGCCCAATGACTGACCAATGGACACAATCTCCTGGTCCAACTCTGTGTCATCCTCAAATCCCTCAAAATCATGGACTACTGATGGCCACAGTGCTTTCCATGAAGAATTGAGGGTTCTATTGGAGACTTCTTGCCATGATGACACAATCAATTTTACAGCCTCCAGGACGTTGAATTGTGTCTTCCAGAACTGTTTCAGTGTTAGTTCAGGATCAGCGGAAGTTGCCTGATGACACCTCCTAAACATTTTCTTCATGTACAACTTCTTGAAGTTGCTGATTACATTCTGGTCCATTGGCTGTATGAGTGATGTAGTGTTTGGAGGCAAAAACAACACTTTCACAAAGTCAAATTGATACTCCAAATTTCTGGCAAGGTCAGGGTCATGACCAGGAGCATTATCCTTGAGGAGAAGAGCCTTTAAAGGAAGTTTATTGGTGGTTAGGTAGCTCTTGACAGAGGGGCAAAACACATCAACAGCCCATTCATTAAAGAGCTGTATTGTCACCCATGCCTTACGGTTGGACTTCCAATAAACTCCAAGCATTGTTTTTACCACTTTCTGTTGCTTGAACACCCTGGGGTTTTCAGAGTGGTAGACAAGCATAGGCTTCAGTCGTAAATCCCCTGAAGCATTGGCACCAAGTAGTAGAGTGAGACGGTCTTTCATGGGTTTATGCCCAGGTAAAGAGGCTTCATCTTTGGTGATGAATGTTCTTTTGGGCATCTTTTTCCAGAACAGCCCAGTTTCGTCCACATTGAACACTTGCTGTGGAAGATAATTTTCTTCCATCAGTTTTTTAAATTCAACTAAAAACTTGCTGCCCCTTCTTTATCAGCACTAGCAGCTTCACCATGCCTAACAACACTTAAAATGTCACTTCTTTTCTTAAATTTTTCGAACCAGCCTTTGCTAGCCGGAAAATCTTCAAATTCTGTTCCTGAAGAACCAGGTTGATCTGCCTTTAAATGTTCATAAATCTCCCTGGCTCTTTCACAAATGAAATCACCAGAAACTGAATCACCTTTCATCTGTTTTTCCCTAATCCAGATGATAAGTAACCTCTCAGTTTCTACGATTAGGGATCTACTTTTAAACACACTTGTAGATTTGTCTCTCACGTTCACTTCCTTAAATTTGTCTTTTTGTGCAAGAATTGTCGACACAGTTGATGCCGACATGCCATATTCTTTGCATAGCGCATTTGATTTAATACCTTGTTCGTGTTTTTTTATTATTTCCTGCTTTATTTGGATTGAAATCGCTTTTCTTGATCTCTTAGGCCCCATGCTGGATTCAAACAATGGCAACACGTATTTTTCAAAGTTAAACTAGCTGTAAATAAAGTATATTTTCTTTAAAATAACACTGCACTGCACTATATATTGTCAATATGTAAAATAATTTTCAAAATGACCAATAATTTGCTTGGAAACACAGAAAAAATGCATTTAGTTGAAGAGAGTCTCAAGCAAGATGTTACCTCCACTGAAAACAGAGAGAGACTGACGCCTGTTTGCTGTGTTAAGAGGCTGGATGCCGCGCATTAAACTAGTCACTTTACCTTCAATTATGTTCAATAATTGTTTAAATGACTAAAAAATTGAATATTAAACTTTTAAAATTATTGAATAGTATAAACTTCTTGATATTCACTAAAATAGTAAGGAATTTAAGCCCTAGAACCGATTAATGTATTGGCGGACTGATACTAAAGCTGGTTGCCCGGTCAGTGCAAGCGAAAACATGTTGAGGTCGGTTCGTAAGAAGTTCGTTAAGCGAAATTTTTTTCGTTAACCGAATTGAAGATCCTTATGGAAGGCAGTTCGTTAATCGAAATTACGTTAACCGAGGTGTTCGTTAAACGAGGGGTCACTGTATTCAATTTTTTAGTCATTTTAACAATTATTGAACATAATTGAAGGTAAAGTGACTAGTTTGTCTAGCATCTTAACACAGCAAAAATGTTTTCAGTGAACATCTTGAACTTGCTTTTTTCTGTGTTTCAAGCAAATATTTTAGACAACTAATGCAATGCAGTGTGAAAAATAATCTTGAATTATACCAAGAGAGCTAAAATTTTATGGGTGAAATGGCACCATGGGGTGACTTCTCTTCCACCACAATGCCTTCTCTTCTTCCTTCTCCTCCACCCCCATTCTAAATCCCATTATCATCATCCAGGAACCTTCTACATACACACCTCAAAGTAAGTGAACGTTTCTACCATTTTTGTTGAATTTAAGAAATTTTCAGTGAGCTGGAACCAATTACCCAAAAACCCATTGAAACAATGTTTTCGGTTAATGAACTTTTCGGTTAACGAACGACCTTCTGGAACGGATTGAGTTCGTTAACTGAGGGGTCACTGTACTCCAATGTACAGAATATTCCTCCGGCGGGGCAATCCGCGTATTTGCGAATCCTTGTATGCTAAACCCACGTATGTTAAGGGCCGACTGTAATAATAATAACTCTGTAATAATAATAATAATAATAATAATAATAATAATAATAATAATAATAATAATAATAATAATAATAATAATAATAAAAATAAATAACCATAAATAAAAAAATGAGAAAAAGATCAAAAGTGAGAAACAATACTGCTCCTCCCCGACTTATGATGGGGTTAGGGACCCAAATCCAGGTCCTAAATCGAATTGGTTGTAAGTTGAAAATACTTAAATAATACATAGAAAATCTAAATTGGGTGTCTCTTTTTCTTTAAAGCACCAGAAAACTCTCACTTTTAAGCTTGCCAGCCATTTTAAAGTGAATTATAAACAAAAATTTTCTCAGTACACAGCCTAATCACTCACGTTGAGACTCGAAAATACGTAATTTGAAAAAATTTTGGTACGACTGAGGCGATCGTATGTCCGGGTGGTCGTAGGTCGAGTAGGTCATAAATCGAGGAGTAGCTGTATACAGTACGTATGTTGTATTGTCAATAGTATGAGAAACAATTGAGACGCTGTGTAAATGAGGCAGAAAGTCAGATCAGCAACCTGGGACTTGGTCACAATTTTCATGATACCATATAGCAGCAGGGTCCACCATTAGACAGTACATTATGCTTCCAATATCTTCCCAGGCGGTAGTACCTCCCTGTTTGGTAGCTGCCTTATGACAAATCTCATGTTTAGAAATATTTTTCTTTACAGGTTGTTGGCATGAGTTCTGAAATGTTTGAGCAGATGCAGGCATGTTACAAAGAAAAATTTGATAGAGCTCAAGATGTTCTCCGAAGTTTGGTGCCCTTCGACTCAGAGGATGCCCAGCAGAGTTTTCTCTTTACTCTTCAAGAAGAATCCCGAGAATGTTTTTGGGCAGGTAAAAACCTCGGGAATGTACAGTCAACCAAAGATGCACTGACCCCACCCTGGGTCTTGTGCTTGCAATTTTACCTGGCAATACTTGGTAAAGTAAGCCTGTTTGTAAAGGTGATTGTGATTGGTGGATCTATTTTTGGCTGTATCACTGTCTGGATAAATATTAAACACACCAAGGGTAGAATTTTTTAATATTAAACTTTTCATCATTATTTTAGAACATGAGAAGTTTCCATTTTTTTTAAATTTGCTTAAATAACGAAGAAAATTATATTAATAAATTGGCAGCTCAACTACAACCAGAGCTGTCACAAGACTTTCTCATCACATTTCCTTCATTATTGAAGCAAATAAACGAACATTTGGAAACTTCTCAGGGGGGTGGGGGTGGTGGTCATGGCTGTGGGGTCAGCACCCAAGACACCCCTGACACCATTGGCTGGGACTGAATTTAAAAGCAAATGTCACTGATAAGTTGTGATGACACATTTATGTAAACACACTGTGCCTTTGAATGTTACAGGTCATTTACATTGGATTTCAAGCATCAACCATTAGTACCAACCAAGTTACTCCAACATATTGATAGGAGGGAAGGTATATTGAGTTGCCAAGCAGCGGACTGTCATATACTAATGGGATTCTGTGATCTTAAATATATTCTTTGTATTGCTGTTGTCACCGTTTGCATGGGTTAGCTGATGGCAGCTCTCTCTCTCTCTCTCTCTCTCTCTCTCATACATTCCATTTTGATTGTACTGTACGTATTAGCCAATTCAGTCATTAGTAACACATCTACATCACCTGGTGGTTTCAGATTTTCTGCAAGTACGTGTATCTTAGATCATCCAGCCGCCTTTCTGTTTTTCATTTTCTTGTTTGCTTTCTCCACCCACCCTTTCAATCCTTGGGCATGTCCTTTACTGATTTTATTTCCCCTAGGCTGCTCTTGTACTCCTCACTCAGTATGTTCTTGAGTCATCCTTGATTTCTTCGTTATCGACAACCATGTTACCTGGTTAGTTCTCCCACAGTGGTCACTAACATTGATAAAACTATTCTTTCTACTTGTTCTGCAGCTTTATCAGCCTCAAATCATATTAGTTTTTGTAAGTTTGTAAGAAAAATTATTGCCACTACACCTCTGATTGACTGAACTTGTTTGTCTTAACTTCAGGTGAAATGTTGGATCATTTTTGTACTGAGAATGCAACAACGTGGGATCAAGAAATTAGCCGTTATCTCTTCCAGTTTCGCACCATGTCAACCTCCATTGGTGGAGTCACCCCCTTCAGTATCATGTTTGCTCGTAATCCAACAGGTAGTGTTTTCAGGTTCTTGTCTGAGTGATTTTAAACAGTTATATTATAATATACAGTATACAGCTACTTCTCGACTTACGACCTACTCGACTTACGACCTCCTGGACATACGACCGCCTCAAAAAATTTTAAAATTACGTATTTTTTAGTCCCGACATCAGTGATTGCGCTGTGTACTGACAAAATTTTTGTTTGTAATTCCCTCTAAAATGGCTGGCAAGCTTAAAAGTGAGAGTTTTGTGGTGCTGAGAAGAAAAAGAGACACCCATTTTAGATTTTCTATGTATTATTTTCGCATTTTTGACTTACGACCAATTCAACTTACGACCTGGATTTGGGTCCCTAATCCCGTCGTAAGTATGGGACTGCCTGTATTAGGCTAGTTGAAAATTTGATAGTTACAGTAAAACCTCTCAAGTTCAGTAATCAACACTTCACAGAATGGCTCGGATCGCTTGAACTTCACTTATGAATTAGGCGACATCATTTATTACCCAAAATTGGTATAAGTTGCATTTATGCAACAAAATTAGATAATAGCAAGTAATTTTTTATTATTATTAAGTAGTTTTTCTGGTATAGTTCTTGTTATGTGAATTATGTGTACAGTTTCCTGTTTTTAATACCGTCTCGGTGAAAAAAGTGTGATGTAAGTTTGAAAGATGTAGGCATAGGACTGGATATTTCAAAGACAAAATTGTACACAGACAAAACTTTGGTAAAACTTAATTCATACAGTATATCTTCTATTAACTATGTGATATATACAATTACAGGTGTACAGGGAGTTCTTCTATAACGGGTGTTTTGACAACGTGAATTGGCTCTAACGCGATTGATGAACAGAGGAACAATATTTGTAAAACGCGAACGCCTTTGCTCTAACGCGATTCCACTCGAACGGTTGTTGTGGCTTGGCACGGGGTTATGCAGTATTTACAGTTCACGTTCGACATCACATGTTCAATTGATCTATGTGTTTTGCTTGTGAACAATTGCAGAAATAATTTACCGTATATCTCGGCCTATAAGAAGGAATTTGAACCATAAAAAAATTAGCCCAAAGTTAGGGGGTCGTCTTAGGCACCAGATATAAAATTCTTACCTCTTAAATATTGCGGTTTAGCGTGTCAAGAGTGGTGATGGAAACATCGTAAACCACTCAAGGTTCTACCACTAATTATTTTATACTGAAACTTACGTTTGGGAAGCTGGATTAAAATGATGATTACCGGTATATTAAAATAATAAAAATGTACTATAAACCTGTCTAACATACCGTAAAAGAACAATATACCCCGGTAATAAACACAGCTGCTATCATCACCCCCCACCCATTTGCCAGTGATAAGAAAGGGAAAGTGACCTTGACTGTGACCGCCTGTGGCTATTTTTAGCCGTCCTTGTGTTTGGAGGTGGTCAGTAATGCATATCTGTATATTTACTGATCATAATACAGTGGGGTATGCTATAACGAATCTAATTGGTTCTAGAACCTTGTTCGTTATAGCATTCGTTCGTTATAGGATTCGTTCGTTCCAGGCCCCCAAATACAACCACTTAACACTGAAAAATATAATATAAAATTGTAAAAATTGTAAAAAAGTGCATACATATGCATCTAAACCCCTGAAATAAAGAATATCATTAATACTTGTAATAAAAATCAATAAATAAGGGAAAAAAACAATTTAAATAATGTTCGTTGTAGGAGTTTCGTTCGTTATAGCATTCTCAATTTTATAGGTAAAACCGTTTGTTATAGGAATATTCGTAGTAGGATCCGTTCGTTATAGCATACCCCACTGTACTTATCTCCTATAAATAATTCATTTAAAATTAATTTTTTTACAAAGAATATTCAGTAAATGACTGAGTTAATTCTTCAAACTACCGACAGTGGTAAATTTAGGATATAAATGATGAACAGAAGTCACGTCATGGATTCGGAGTTTGGTCCTATATGATCACCATAAATGTCTGGTCAACTTCACCTACCAGGTATAATGGTAGCCTCCCATTTTTGCGAAACAAGTATATAAATTAAAGAAAATACTTGCAGTGTGTTTAATATATTACAATATATTATAAATAAATAAATAAACAAATAAATCGGCAAATCTATTTCAAGTAAATGGAAATATTTTACTCACACCGACATTAGTTCCAGTTAAATAACTGACGCTTAAGTGAGTCACTAGTGTACACCAGCAGGTAAAATTTGATGCCAATACTTGAAGTGAATTGGCATTATTTTAAATAACCAACCATAAATAAATGCAAAAAGGAAAAAAGATCAAAGGTGAGAAAAATTATAATGTATGTATGTTGTGTTGTCAAAGGAAGAGAAACAATTGAAACTGCAGTTGTGTGTAAATGAGGCAGAAAGATAGATCAGCAACCTAAGACTTGGTCACAATTTTCGTGATGCCATATGGAAGTAGGATCTACCATTAGACAATACTGTACATTATGCTTCCAATATCTTCCCAGGCAGTAGTATCTCCCTGTTTGGTTGCTGCCTACTACCTATGCACAAATTTTAGTAATATTACTTTGATACAACATGATAAATTAGACAAACAATGAAAATAAACAAACAAAAGTTATTTACCAAGACCTTCTCTCTGAGAACAGAGGGTAATAGATGGAGAGGAGATAAGAAGGCTATTTATAGCCCGTCTTTGTGTAGGAAGTCGACCACACTATAAATAATTCATTTAAAATTTATATTTTTTACATAGAATATTCAGTACATGACTACGATTATAAAATAGGCCGAGATATACGGTATGTAATATTTATGTGCGTGTGATGTAAACAGAGTGCTTGGCCTCTCTCTCTCTCTGTATGGATGAAATTCGTGGTTTACAGTGAGTGATACGATTGTCGTAACATTACTAGGCTGAAGGCGCCTGAATACTACTTAAACACATCAAAATTATGTTAATTGATCACTGTATAATAAATTCATTCACTCATAATTTAAAATTCCCTTATCATCCTGTGTTATATACAGAAATACTTGAGTCCCTGAGCGAGTACACAAAAAGAAAACGGAGGACTAAGACATCCTGAAGTGGATAGAGAACAGACATCTCTACTGGGGGACTCAAACGTTTCCCATGTTTTGTGGGCGCTGTAGCATAATATGAATAATATGTAAATTACAATTTACCTATATATATATTGTATGTAAATTGTAAAAATTTAAATAAAAGAGAAAAACTAAATACGTAGCGTTTAAAGTGTACAGTGTGGTGGCTTGGCGCGGGGTTATGCAGTGTTTACAGTTCACGTTCGACATCACGTTCAATTGATTTATGTGTTTTGTTTGTGAACAATTGCATAAATAATTTATGTATTATTTATGTATATAGTATACCTGTACAGTATATGTAAATTGTAAAATTTTAAATAAGAGAGAAAAACAAAATACATAACGTTTTAGACCTGCGCTCTCTGTTTACTCCACACGTTCAGTTTGAAACACGAAACACGTGTGAAGTTTTTAAGCGTCCTTAGTGAATTCTGATTACTGTTTCTCCAATTTTGTGACTATGGAAAAGAAGAATATGGGAAGCGTTCTGGTGATCGCATTTCCAGTGGTGATCGTGAAAGAAAGGCTATAACACTTGAAGAAAAGCTTGATGTTTCATGACTCCTCAACATCACCCTTCTCCCCCATCAAGTTATATTCATATTTTTTCAAGGTAAAGTATAACATTTACTGTATGATTTCATTATTAGATATGAATGTAACATTTATTTAGACTGCTATCCTTTGTGTTAGGCTAACTACGAATTTTTTTTTCGATTTGGAGTAATCTGCACCTAACCCTATTTTCTCCATAAGCCCTGTTATTTCTATTACGCGAATTTCTATAACACGATGTTTGACAAGAACACAACTATCGCGTTATAGCAGAACTACCCGTACCCTGAAAACCAACGTCCCGTTGACCGCTGATTTGCATAACCTACGATTACATGTAGGGGAAATACCCCACAAGTTCCGTTGATACCCCCAAGATCCGATGAGCGGCAGAGGAGTGGCAGAGCTGTTTTGAATTTGGCAGGCGGTGGCATACCGGTAGTGCGAATTCTTGCCACCAGAGGGCTCTTCACACTGCCCTGACTCATTCCTGCCGTCTTTGCTCTTGTTTACATTTACTATGTGTTTTTTTTTCCAACTCAATGTGTTACTCAACCATGTCTAAATGCCCCAGTGATAGTTCCTCTTGTGCTGGAAAACTAGATGTGGTGTAATAAGGCGTAATAAAGCATAATAAGGTTTAATAAGAGTGGTGATGGACCAGCGAAGAGTGGTAGAGACTTGAACCTGCCACCCTAGACTGTCTCTACCATCCTGAACACAGGCAAATAATAGTCTCAATTTATTCTTTACAGTGCATATTTAAGGCTTATTATGCTTGCTTTATATGTCTGCTTTATTTTCTTGCCTGACATTGTGCACTACGGAGATATATCAAAGGTAGATGGGAGTGTTTTTTAGGGTGGCCGGTCCCTAACCCTCTGAATTTGTTTTGTTTTTCTGGGATTAATTGCTTCGATAACTGTTGATTCACTAACCAAAGACTTTTCCCAGTCCTTAAATGCATCTGCTATCGGGGTACACCTGTACAGTATTATAAACAGAGTTGTAAAAAGTACTGGACATTGTTACTTAAGTAAAAGTATTGCTACATTGGCAAAATGTTACTAAAGTAGAAGTAAAAGTATCCAAAGTTCAATGTACTCAAGTACAGGTAGATATAAAAAAGTATATCATTCATAAAGTACTCAAGTACTGAACGTAAAAATTAACAAAAACTTATTATTTTCTCAAATATTAAAATAAATCCACGATAAAAAAAATAGTTAACTAAAGATAACATTGAAACAGACAGCATTACACATATTTATTTGCAAATCTTTCTATGAGATTAATCAATAACTGATTCTCAAATTATGGCTGTCTTATTGGGAGATTTTAGGC